ACACCAAACAGGTGAGGACTCCATATCCTACTATAACCTACTCTGATTTTTGCATCCTAAAATTTGGGTGGTTCACATATTTAAAAGGAAATAAGCAACAGAAGCTGTCTTTTCCAAATAAAAATGCTTTTATATATATATATATGTATATATAAAGGAAGAAAGAAATAGTTAAGTAACTTCTAGTTGGCTTTATAGCAAAATAATCTACAGTTCTGCATAATTTCAGGCATGAAAACCCATGGTTGCATTTAAAGAGTGACAGTAGGACAAGCTGACACTTCCAATTCATTTGGTGGATAAGTCACATTTGTTTTACATCATCTGGCAATAAAGTTCCAACATAAAAGCCTCAGCTAGGAATTTTATTTTTGATTAAAAAAGAATGTTCCAAAAAATAAAAGTGCAACAAACCAAACCAGAAACAAAAACCACACCCCCCTGCTTTGTTGGATGACTCTCTCTTCCTCCTCATAATTAAAGTTTTTGGAGCTTATTTTTCTTTTTTTTTGTCCTCTGTCCTATCAGCAATTTCTATTTCACAGCTTGAGTGCTTCAATAGAGATAACAGCATTAGTGTTAATGAAGTGAAAACATAGAAATTCAATTTCCATAGACATTTTCTTAACTTCCATACTTTCTGAATCTGTAAAATTAAGGCTCTGGATAAGAACTGCATGTTCAGAAATTTCAATTTCCCTACTCTTAGCACTTCCACTTCTAAAAAAAAAAATATCAAGTACATGCCATACTGGAAACCTCTAAAATTTTTTAATAAAATTTAAAACACAGGGGCAATTGTTATTTTTCCTAAACAAGATTCTCTTTGCCAAGGTGGTGTTTCCTTCTGAGCCAATACACCGCTCAGGAAGGTTTGGGATCAAGTGGCTTTTCATCCCCATGGCATTGTATCCACTTTCCCTGAAGAGCTCAGCTCGCTGGAGAAATGTGGAATGAAGAAAGTGGAAAAAACATATTCCTGAAAAAAACAAACCTCTTCCTGATCACGGGTCAGACACACTCCAGAAAGAGAGAAAAATGCACCATCAAGAGGGATGAACTCAGAGTTGGAAGCCAGGAATTCCCTATTTCTAATCCATCCTAATTTTTCCTCTTCTCTTTTCCTTGACCCTCATCTCTGGCAGCAGCTGGAGGGTGTTGGAGCTCTGGGATGGTCACAAGAGAACCTGGGGCTTAGGCAGGAGCAGAAGGCAAAGCTGCTGCACATGGAGCTGTTTGATGGCTCTTCAGGAGTCTAATCCAGGCTGGGATTGTCCAACCCAGCACTAAGGAGAGCTGTTGCCTTCTCTCCCTGAGAAAAATCCAGGATCACTGGTAAGAGATGCAAAGCAGTGTTGGAAAATTGGGGAAAAAAGGCAATTCTGCCAGGGCAGCACAACAGCCTGAGGGTGTGAAGGCACCAAAGAGCATCCGAACCTGCTGTGAGGAGATCTGGGGAAGAGGAGGAGTTAGCAGTGGAAGCTGGGTGAGGTTACACCTGCCAGGTATCACAAAGGAGGAGAGCAACAAGTCCATGCTGGAGCCTGGGGGTGAGGGTTTGAAGGGCACAGAGTAAAGATGGAACCAGGACTTGGTTCTGGTGGAGATCATAGCACAAACATCTTTTAGAGATAAATACAGGATGTGATTTGCTGGGCCTTAAGGGCAGAGGTGAGAGGTGGGAAGGCTGCAGGAGAGATCAGGCTATCACTGAACAGAAGGGGAAGGAAGAGAAAAAGGGGATTTGTTCAGTTTCTGACCTGCTGGTTTAGGTAGTTTAGCTCTGAATGCAAGAAAGTCTGTAAACGTGTTAAACCTGGTTATTCCAAAGCTTTGAGGAAAGGCCTGAACACAATTGGGAAAACACAAACAAGACTGAAAATAAGGAAAGGGAATACATCCAGGGCAAGCATGGTATTTTCCTGACATTAAACTACATCCAGACAGCAACTATTTGGCAATTTCTTTCTGGAAAGCCTCCCGGATTCCCCCCCTCCACACACACCCATCAAGGCTGGAGAATCCAAGCAACTAATCCAACCACTTCCTTTCACACCAAGATCTGAATTAAGAACCACGTCAGGCAAAAGCCAACCCTTTTTTTCTCTTTACAACACTGCAGAAGTGTTTAAAAAAAATTTCTCATACAACAGAACACCTATTCTGCTGAATCAGGTTAGCGAGTCACAAAATTCCATGGGAATTAGCAACTTAACTCAGACATTATTGCATAAATATATCCCAGCAGCTCCACCTGACTGTGCCGTTTGCATCTGCCACCACATGACAGATGAGACTGTTAATTAGCAGCATGTTAACCTGCTAAAAATTCCAGGCTGGGGACACTTCAATCAGCCCAACACAGTGGCAGAGACTGGTGTTCCCATGCAATGCTCTGTTGTGAGGGAAAACATTAAGACATTTAAAATCCCTGTTATTTTCAAAGAATAAGAAGAAAGATTTAAGTCCTGTAGCCCCTGAGGTTTGTCGTGAGGTGCTTTGCAGTAGGATGGTTACTATCCCTTTTTTCCCCCAAAAATAAAAGTTAATTATCTTAATAACTGATGCAGATGGGAAGCTGAGACCTTACACTGGGTATATCTCACTAAAAGTTACCTTAAGATAAAAGCCAGGCAGTGAGTTGTTGTACCAAAGAGATCTCAACTTTTACTGCTGTTTTAATTGGAATAACAGGCAAGACTACAGAAAGGGTTAAATGATTATGAAGAAAATTTGGAGAGGGAAAGCATTATTTTCAAATTACAAGGCCTGACATAACTTTTACTTTGGATTAGAAATGCTGGATATCCTTCTGTCACCAGGGAATTCAGCAGCCAGAATCAAGCAAAGTAGTTTTCCCCTACATGACAAGTAATTTATATTGGAAATAATACACTGATTAAACAAAACCTAATTTTTAAGGGATGTTCTTCCCCAAACAAGAAAAAAAAACATCACCCACAAAAAATATTTCATGCAGGTCTAAATTCCTTCAGACAATCCAGCAAGAGATGTCCCAAATCTGCCTGAGGAGAACTTTCTGCCAGAAACCCCATTGCTATCTCTGCTTTTTATAATGCAATCACAGTCTCACTTCAATGCTGAGACAACTACAGGATCCAGATACAACCACGGCTTGTTCTGTAAAACAACCTAAAAATACCTTCTGTTCATCCTTCCTTAAAAATCATAACCAGAAAGTAATTTTTTTCTAAAGCTTTTACCATTTTTTTCCATTCCTCTGGTTGCACATCAACATCCTCCCTCATTTCCCATGTCCTCTGCTCCTTAGTTTCTCCAGGAGGGAATCAAATCACTCGCCCATGGAGCACCGAGCATCCCTTACAACCCACCCCAGTCAAATCCACTGTCCCACAGCACTCCAAACACCCAGACAGGACTGGCAGATCCTTGGGAAGACACAGGGAATGGCTGACATTCCCAACACAGAGTTCTGGAGCAGATTAACTCCAAACCATGCCCATCATTCCTTGGGCAGGAGTATCCCTTCCCAGCTGGACAAAGGTTACACAGGGATTTACACTCAGCCACCTTGGCAGCACTTCCCACCTTTTATCCCTGTAAAGCTGGGCATTAATGCTCATTAATGGACCCACCTAACTAAAAACCAATCAAAGCCTCTGCTCCCATTTCAGGGCTTTTTCCTTGGCTCTGCACTGACCTTTGGAGAGGACATGGAAGGGCAGAGGTCTGAAATCTCTATTCTATACCAAGTAACATTTTGATAGGTTTAATAACATTAAAAAAATCAAAATAACTTAGAATTTTTTAAATATAAAGATCCATTCCTTATACATGAACTTAAAACTTGTTTTATATCCATTTTTCTAATGAATATGAATTACAGTCTCACATGCAGAACCTAAACCTGGACTGAGTTTGGATAATAAAACTATAATTCTATTATTTCACTAAACTGCCACGATATTTTGTTAAGCAGTAATGAAAATGTTCTGTATCCTGCACATCATGAACAATGACTTCACATATTTAGTCTTGGATATTCAGATAAAGAGTAGATCAAGACATGACTTTAAACCAGGCCTTCCACGTTCTGTTGAGAGACCTATCGAGCTGCTTTTCTTCACTTGGAAAAGGAGGGACAAGAAATTCTCTATGCACAAATAACTGATCTGCTGTAAGTCTGGTGATGGCCAAAGCTCACATAAATATGCTCAAACAGTTTCTAATAATACAGGGTAGGGAATGGAGCCAGGGGAATAAAGTCAGAGATCAGAACAGAATATAATGAATTAAACCAGTTCGCTTCTCTTCCTTATCTTCCACCCCAAGAAAAAAGATAAAGAATAAAAGACTAAAAGACAGGGAAAATAAAGCATCCACAAAGAGACCTACATAAAAATAAAAGCTTTAATAAGTTGTATTATACAGAATATTCTATGCTTTAGAAAGACAGAGGAAAACCAGGACATGTACATGCCATACTGATTATACTGCTCAGAAGCACCCAAAGGTGCTCAAGTGATGGTAACAACAATTCCTGGTGAGAAGAACATTTGGGACAGAAAATGATAGAAGAGGAAACTGATACACAGAGAAAAAGACACTGCAGCACCACAACAGACAGAAACAGCACCAAGAGAAGAGGGAAATATTGTCAATTATTTGCTTCATTTTACAGAAGTGTTAACATGAAAATATTACAATGAAATAACGCTGTGGTACACGTGAAGCACGCTGCAGAAATCACCACTAGGAAAACAAATGTAGGGTTCAGATTTCGAAATGAGAAAGTGGAATTTTGATACATATATTTTTCACTCCAACTAATAAACTCTGGGATCCTTCCCAGAGACACAGGACAGCTCTATGAACATCTGACAGTGCCTGGGTACTTTAGAGGATTTCACTTCAAACCTTTGGTTATCACTGTTACCACCTACAGGTCATAATGCTGATTCCATTTGGGATCAAGTGTATTCTTCACAGTATCTGTAGAATGGCATTGGCCAGATCCATCCACCACAACCTTGGCAAAGGGATCGGGAAGTCCTGAGGGGAGGAAAAGAAAAAAAAAACTGGCAAATGGCTCAGGATGCTTTGAAGACCTGCATCATTGCACAATTCACTTTTTAATCTCTTATTTCAAGTTGCCTTCTATTCATAAATGAGCACCATATTTAATGGATGGGAACAACATGACATATTAGGTACAGGGAATGGTAAATTAGCAGATTATTTCACTGATATGGACCAAGAAAAAGTTGTCTGAGTCAAACACATTGGGGGAAAAAAAATCTGAACATCTTAAATCTTCCTAATTCAGGGGTGAGTAAAATCTCAGTATACAAAGAAGTCAGTCCAAGGCAGAGAAAACAGATTTACATTCTTCCTATGTTTAAGATTAATCACAACTACGGTTTTGGCTGATATTGGTATCACAGAAAATTGCCTGTAACAGGTTATTGTTGCTTTTGAGGTGCACTTGGTTTCCTGCTAAGCTTTCTGCTTCATTGTCTGCCAGCTCAAAATCAGTGCTAAGATGGTGTTGAACTGCCCAGCTGGGCATGGAAAAGCAGCAGGAGCAGCCCAGAATCAGCACAACCAACTGATGGATTCCACCCAGGGATTCACTGACCCCAGGGATGGTCCCACCACTGCTGCCCCCAGGTCAGCCCATCCTGTCCCTTTTCCCCCTCATCCTAATTCCTGCCCTCACCCCAGTGCTCAGTGACTCAGTGGGGAAACTGAGGTGGGAAAACATTAACCCCATTTGCTGTAGAGCAATTTAGGCCCAGTTCCACTTCCTCAGGTGACTCAGGTGGAGCTGGGCAGGACAAGTGCCAGGGAAAGCACGTGGGATAACGACAAGGCACGTGGGGAAGGGGAGGAACAGGACCTTGGGATCTGTGTTTCAGCACTCAAGAGCATCACAGAGCTCAAATCTTGAGTTGGTTTGGGTTTATTTTCAGCCACCATTAAACTGTCAAACACCCAATACAATCAATACAGAAATCCAGATCAAAGACAAGTATCACAAATCACTGTATCATCCCCTCTCCAAGTTGTTTCCCAAGCTCAGGTCTGATATTTGGAATTCCTCCTGCTCCCAGGTGATCTGTGTGAGCAGACACAGAAAATAACATTCCTTTCTGCCTCCTTCATCTGCTTCTTAGCACTTCTTTCAAAACATTATTAAAATTAATTAAAATATAATTTCAGAGTAGCTTGGTATTATGAGGTGATTATTAATAATTAAGAAGCACATCTGTTTGCCTGACAAAAAGTTCTTACATGAAAAACATTTTAATAAATATATGACACTAATTGAAAAACATGTCATTTGCCTGAGTGGGTACATTTGTTTCCCACTCCCATAAAACCAGAGAGAGTGTGTCAGTGTTTTAATTATTATTATGAATCTGGTGAGTGTCACTTCAGAAAAAATTAGAAGCCCTGAAATAAAACAGTGTGAAAACATCAAAGCCCTCACCTCCCTTATTGCAAAATTATCTTAATACAATGATCATGTGCAAACATTGGGCTACAGCACCTGCATAATATTTATCCCATCTATAAATAAATGTATAAAACTTTAACAGCTACTTACGGAAAAAATCCTTTTTCACCAGGTTTTTTGCACACAGTACTGCAAGAAAAACAGAAATACAAAATTAAGTTACTGGCTGCCAACTTGAAAAGAAGAAGTTACTTCACCTGTCCAGCATTCCAGAAAATCCTGCTCAAAATAAAATTAATATAAATGAAAACTGTGCTCCTTCATCATTTATATTGTTCTACAGCCCAGCAAAAGCTTCCCTGATCATTAAAAGGAGAGTATTAGGCAGCCAAGGCTTTTCTGTTATCCTGCATGGTAATAAATAAAAGGTTTTACCTGAAAAACATCTGGGTGGAGCAGACTAACTTCTAAGGCCAGAGTTTTGATGGTTCCAAAGATATCTTTTATTTGTAGAAGTTGATAATTGTTTCAGGCTTTTTTTTTTTTTTGGTTTGTTTTGCTTTAAAAGGGGAGGAACATTTGCATTTGTCAACCAAAAATACCAAGGGGAAAACAATCTCCTATGAGAATAAATTTAAATAAACAAATAAATAAATAAAAGGTCAAAGGGGACAACTTTCATATGAAGATGCCAAGGCACACAATGAAGGCTTCTCTTCACAAACTGCAAAACTCAAGGCTTATCTATTATCACAGGTTTAATAAGCAGGAAATATTAGATTCCCCTGTGAAACATTAAAATATTTACTGATAACACAAAAGGATTCTTGGGGATTGAGTAAAAGCACAAATTCCCACAGCCAGTAAAATAAAAAAAAATTAAAAACAGGGGAGGGGGGAGAGATATTTGGTTGGAACTGATACTGCAGGAGGCTCCTCGCTGTTCAATTCCCTGGGATGTTTTTCCTATGAGGTCGCCAATATTTATTACTGCCAGGAAATGCAAAGACAGAAAAGTGCATCCAATAATCCCATCCCAAAGACATCACCTAAAACCAAATGGAATTGGCCCTGCTTTCCCCCCCAGAGTATCCTGAAGGGCTCCTGATTCCCTAATTTCTTTTGCAGCATCCGAGTGAAAGCAGGCAGAGGTCCATGAACCTTCTCATGGGGATTTCCACGGTCCGGGCACAGAATCACCCCCCTGAACAGTCTGAATCAATGGAATTCATGTTTTCCCCATTTTTACGTCCATAAAGATGTAGATTTTAATGGAACTTTTTTCCACGGGAATTCAGCACTGTGAAATCCAGCTCAGGTCTAAGGAGTTTGGATCCTCCAGTCAGAACAGAAGGTGACACCTATCAATGGCTGCAGGTAGTCACAGAACAATCCTCTCACTTTGACATATTCCACAGGAAAGGCACACACAAGTTCCCAGGAACTTTGATTCAAGGGGCTGCTAACAATAATCCAAGAAAAAAACTGCCTGGTTCCAGGTTGTCAGCTGTTGGGTTGTTTTAAAGACGATAAAAGTAATAAATAGAATTTCTCTCCATTCAGCAGCAGGGCTCCATTTAAAGGATTTCCACCCAATAATTCCAAACAGTCAACAGCAGTAAAATACTAATGGAGAGCCAAATGTTTTAGGTATTTCTGATACCTGGAGTTCAAGCACATGTAGAAAAGACTGTCACACCACCATCTACTCCACAGAACATTCCAATGAAGTCCTTAGGATGATGTAATAAAAACCCACAGTTACTAAAGAATTCCATGTGTCCAGCAATTTAAAGTCTACTCTATTCATACCATTGAGAACAACTTAAATGTATTTGAAGAAACAGATAATAAGACAAACCTAGCAAACTGCTTTTGCAGCTCCTGAAGATTTAATTACAAGAATATCTTCAGTCTGAGAATCACCTGCCCAAGAACTGCAAGAGGTTATTGCTCACCAGCCACCTTTCAGGTAGTGGTGAAAAACTTCAAGCAAAATAGATGCTTATATAAATGGCCCCTTTTTTTAAACATCTAAAAAAGACATAATTACTGTCACAATTTCAACCATTACAAGTAATGGGAAGTGTCACATGAAGGTGAAGGCTTTAAATCCAATAGTTAAGTCAAAATTCATCCATGGCACAGTGAGCCATACAGGGTGCTCCTGGGACTGTATAACGTCCAAGACAAAAGAGGTTTGACTAATCTTTTGAGAGACAAATTGCAAGGTTAACTAATTACAACACTCCTTTTCAAAAGTACAGCAAGCCTGCCAGTGTAGTTTAACCCAAGTCCCATTTTTATAAGATCAGGCACATGCACAGCACACAGACTAATAACTGCTCCCCCAGCAATTAGCCAGGAGTGAACAAACTAATATTTTTGGCTCAAGATTTCCCTCTCTAGTAACCACATGTAAGGAAAGTCAGATGTCAACCCACTCTGGCTTTGTCAGGTTAACAAAACAGGAGAGATGCTGAGAAGCCTTCCATTAACAACACCCTCTGTGCCAGGTATTTTAGGTGAAAAAGCCCAGGTCCCAGCTCAGTTTGAAGTGAAACAATCTCCTTCCACACACAGAGCTCTAATCTAGCTCAGGACTTTTTTTGCACAACGCTGGTGGGAAAAGCACCAGAGTTTATGCTCCACTTTTCTAACAGTTTCAACACCGTATTTCAACCTATTCTGGATATTCTGATAACCAACTGATTAATAGTTCCTTGAGAATAAAAACTAAGGAAGTTTGGCTTCCTATGGATTTATGTTTTGTGGTTGACTGAGAGCTATAGCTGAGGCTTTTCCCAGCGGTCAGACAGACACTCTCCCACACAGACCCTCCCGTGCTCCGGCAACTCAGGATCTCCTGCTGCAGCTTTTTCCTCTCCCTCCAGGTCACTGCCTGGCTCTCCTCTTTATCCAGACAATGATTCTCAGAAAACTCATGGGACTTCATTATCTCTGAGTCCTCCATCCTATGTTCCATTTGAGCTAAAGATTCAAAAAGCAGAAAGAACCACAAGGAGATTTATTTCCCTGGACAAAGCCAAGTTAAAACGCTGATGATTCTGGACCCAACCCACGTCATTATCAGATCTACCACGAACGGGTCCTCCAGAGGCACAAGGGCACAGGAGGGGGTTATTTGTTATTTGTACGTGCTTGTTTTAAGGCACTTTTTATTGAAATTATTTTAAAACAAGAAGTTAAGCTGTTTAAACTCGCACTGGAACTAGAACACGAACCAATGGCTGGATACACTGACACTGGCTCGGGAAAAAAGGGGGGAGTGTTGTGTTGTAAGTGCATCATCAAATGACATTAATGGCTTCTAGCACACATCTGTAGATAAAGTATTTATTACAGGGTATCAGTGAGTCAGTGGATAGTTATGTTTTGTGTTTATTGCAGACTTCCTGGGTAGTCTACAGACAGGAGAACATTAATATTCCAATATGAAGGAACAATACATACGTGCCAAGACAAACAGCACATCAATTGTACATACTATACATACATTAAATATCTTTTTATCGTGCTTTATGATCTCATTCTAACATATGCTACTCAGGTCAGCTCACAGAAACTTGAAAAGAGCATTATATTATAAGCTACCCAGTCTCCTTCTGTGACAGCTTTGCTACAAAACACTCAAAAATAAGAATTAAGTGAATCACGTTTGCCAATTTCCTTTTTCTGATTTATTACTCCAGTGACTGACAAAGAATGGTTTACTGAAAAGTTATTTAACTATTGCAAGTAAATGTAAAATATTTAACATCCCCAAATTCCTGCAATCTGTGTGTTAGCTATCAAAACTTACATGCAGTTACAGAGGGGGGTGTGAATAACTAGTTAAACCCACATAAAAATTGACAGGAACTATGAATATTCAAATGGTGAATTTTACAGAAAGATAAATATTTGTCTCATTTCCAGAACTCTTCTTACTCTTTTTGACGAACTCTTGTTACAACTGTTTTCTACTTTGGAATAATTTTTACAGAAAAATCAAATTTTTAACGACATCAAGCTGTTGTTGTGGAAGGCATCCTACGTTATACATTACCACTATTTTATGTCAGTATTAAAAAATATGTTTATTGCAGAGTAGTAAGTATATCAATAACACCATGTCTCTTGATTTATGACAAATGACCAGGTTTAAATGTGCTTGAGGTAGGAGCACCTCAGGGCTACAGCTGTAGCCAAGCACAATAGAAATATACTGAGTTTAAAATTTCTATGTTAAAAAATAACATTGCTTGAGCTGTCTTAAGTAAATATTTTTTAAATGTGTGTATATTTGAGACACGATCGGCCAAAGGTAACGGGAAGACAGGTAAGAAAATAAAAAGCAATCAGAAATGTCCACGGAAGTGAGCACAGAAGGAAACCCATAATCAAGACATTTAAAATTACACGACTTAGTAGGAAACCCCCCATCCCATGTCAGCCATCCATAAGAACCACCACTGTGTCAACAGCCAGCCCTGAGGTTCCAGGGAAGGAAAGGACTCGCTCCAAAGCTAAGATTATGTTTACTAATCTTCTGGCTTTCCACGTGTCATCACCACAGAAGAACAAGCTCAGCCTTCCCAACCCAACCAACAGTTTTGACGTTACAATTCCTGTTGGTTTTTTTCTTTCCCCAAGGGTTTTTCTCCCAGAAGAAGTGCTTGTTCCAGAACATATGTAACACGTGGGAGAGCGAGCAGAAGGACAGGCTGCCTATCAGTTTTTACCACAAGAGCTCACTTGGAAGACAAGTCTTTCTCCCCCTACAGAAAGAGCATCTTTTAAGGAAAGCCATTAGTGCTGGGTTTGTGATCAGATCCCAGTTGTTTGCATGTTCTGTGCAGTGCAATACAATCACTGAAATCGGTCCCAGCTGTAGAAACACAATGCTGGGCTGTTGCTAATGTGTGTTGTACTGATAATGAATGGTCGTCTATGCTTTAATCTGAATAAAGCTCCCAACTGCTCTGCCTCTCCTTGCCAAAAATTCCCCTTCCTCCTCCAGACTGTGGTTGCATTCCAATTACACTGCTGATTGGAATGAGCCTGCTTGGGGGAGGGAGAGGGAGGGAGGCAAATGAAGGCACACACACACCCCCCTCCTGCCTTCGGAGGGTGCCCCTGGGACCCAGAAACCGCCCGGGTGTTTGAACCTATGGCTGACACAACGGACTTTTCCCCACATTGTGCAAAACTCTTCGTAAATTCACTTACTTCTCACAGAAAAGCATTTGTGACAGGCACAGGTTCCAGCAGGATGGCTCAATACTTGAAACGTTTCGAACAAATTCCTACTGGTTTCTTCCATTGTTGGCACGCTCCAGAGAAACTTATATTTTTCTGCTTGCATTCCCTCCTTGGACCTGCCTGAATTCCCACATGGGAAGATATAAAACAGGAGGTCTTCAACTGTTCATCGAACAAAGAGCTGTAAATAACACCACACGGATTTGCAAATCCAGCTGTTGAGGTAATAACTT